GCTCCACAGGTCTCATTTATAAGTGTGATGTACACAGAAAACTGGGCCTGAAACTGACCTCTCGCTTTCCACAGACAGGTTGGCATCTATAACAAACAAATTTGACGTGAGAATGTCTGGCTCATGCAAACTGTGCTTAAAACATTTAAATACCGTAGTGATGACATTCATGCATAATGCTTAAAAAAAAAGAAGAAAAAACAAAACACAACATAACAGAGCCGCTCCACGATGCTGCCACCAAAGGTGGCAAAACTCTAGGATAATAGGCTGCTTGATAATTCATATGCTATCCATTCATATATTTTAAAATAATCCTTCAACAGGAATCATAACTCCTCTTTTATTAGCTAATTATTAAATTTTTCTTAGCGGTCCCTTGCACATTACCTTAAATTTTATATTAACAAGACAATGCTTACATCCAGACTTGGCTCCATCCCGATGTAAAATGGAATTGCTGATGTAGATAAAACTGAGTAATCAGTTATACCGGCTTGTGTTTTGGGGTTGTAGGAGGTTGATGCTTGGTAAGCAGCTGAGATATGAAGCAGAAGTTGAATATCCTTAAGTGCAAAACGTTTCAGTGCCATATAGTTTGCTGCACTGCAGCCCTTTTACTGGTGGGAGGACACTAAAAAATACATACTAAGTTTATTTAAAAACAGAAATAACACATTCAGACAGAGAGTTCGGGTGGGTGCTTCAAATACTTGAAAATGCTTGAATTTCAACAAAATTCTGGAGTTCTGTATCAAGTAATTGAAAGTGATCAATATTCTAAGGAGACAGTTTTGTAATAAAGTCGTAATAAACATTTAGAGGAAAAGACTCTGAAGTCATGTGATCATGTTGTGCTTAAGAAAAATCACAAACAGGTCTGTTCAATAAAATTAATATTTATTAATTTTAATGGCTCAATGAGTAATTGATCTGTGTGGGTGAAATAAAGGTTGTTTTATATTTTACACATTAAAGTTATTGAAATTGGGGGATTCTTTTCTTAAATTTGTATTTTGTTCTCAGACCAGTCAGGTGTGTGAAGGCGGATTTTCAAAAAATAAAATTTTGTTATACTTTAGTTTGTCCCTGCTATGTAGAATACTATCACAATACATTGTTCATAACCGTAATAAGTGATGTAATATAATGGTGACATTAGTTTATTTGTATTGTTTTTATCTCCATAGTGTGGTGCTGGAAAAGTTTGAAAACTTAACATGAAAATGCTTGAAGAGAGATTAAATTTTACGAAAGTGTATGAAAGCTGAAATGAAATAAACATAACCATTTATGGCTTGTGATCATCCCAAACTAGGCATTTAGGCAGTTTTGGCAGTCATGTTGAACATTTTTTACTTCCTTTAGTTTATGGCCAATTTACTATTTCCAATGTTTCAGGCCCTTTGTGAAAAGTTTCAAACAGCAGGACAATCACATCCAAAGGCTCATTTCATCACTTACAACTACATCATCTCATACCTTTTCTAATTAATCTGTTAATTTTATCTTTAATATTTCATTTTAAAATGAAGAGCTTGCGGTAATCAGAACATGAGGGAAAATGGTTCATGAAGACTCCCAGTTTCTGTTTTTGTCTGTGCTGTAACTTTTTGTTTGTGTGAGCCATATGTCCCAAATTAATGAATCTAGGCAGTAAACTGAGCCCTCTTCACTCTGTCACTGCTTCTTGTCACAGTAGGATTGGCCTCAAACTCTTTCTCTGAGCCTCCCTCTCCATCTCTTCTTCTCCTCACTGAGTCGCTCCCCGCTCTGTTCTTTCTGTTTTTGCGCAAGTGTCCCAGTTATAAAATTGCTTACATCCTACTCAGTCTGGGGCTGGATTGAAATTTCCCATAGGGTATGTACCAATATGCAGAGAGCACACTTCGACAGATGCCATCAGAGAACAAGCATATGAATTACCAGGCAGCCTGCCATCTTTGAGTTCAGACAGAATGGCATTAATACCTGATTACGATCCAAACAACACAACAACAACATGAAAGCCAAAGCAACTGGGAGCAGGTAAAGGTTTCATCATTTATATATTAATGGATTAACTAACAAAGACTTTTCCAACCCCCCACACCCCCTCCAAAAGTTAAAATGTCACGGAAGCTGCCAGCATTCTGAGGACGTTTGGGAAAAAAGAAAAAGAAAAGAAAACAACTGAAAAAAACTAGGGTTAAGTTGTCAGCAAATTACGTTCCAATAAATAAAATATTTACAACCGCTGACCATAACTAATTCAAAGGCTTTGAGATATTCATGACTACAATTAAAGAAAACATGATTCCTTTCATTTCAAATAGTGGTAAATATAGGCATTACCTAATTACCTGAACCTCATTACCCTGAAGGTAAACTACTCTCATACTAACCAATGTGCAACAATTTTCTATTTATTATGAAAGAAACTATAAAATGCTTCATGAAAGAATAATTATCAAACATAATTTAGTGACTTATGCAACTTAATAGACTTTCTATACATCTTATGAAGTAGTTTTTGCTATGGGCTCTCCAGCTAAATCAGTCTGCCACAGATTTTATTGACAACAACAAATCCTTTGGCATGAGTATCACAACGTAAATATACCACACGTAAGTGCTGCTGTGGAGATTAACTCACTTCGGTGTGCTGAATGCTTGGAGTGGCTGATATATCAGGGGAGTTGAACTTAACCACTTGAGGGCATTTATGTGTATAAGGGTTAAATTCTAATATGCATCATCAGTCATACACACAACTGTTATTATATAAACTTGAAGGACTATTTCAAAAATATGCCTCATTTTGTCATGTTAAGATTAAGCAGGATTTTAGAGTTGCAAAATAAAAAAACAGAGAAAGCAGCTCTGCAAACAAACTACTTTGTAATCTTAAAAGTTAATTTTAAGCATGACACTAGAAATGAAAAGACTTTATGAAGGATTTGTGTTCATGATGAATGCATTCTTGTGTGTTTTTATTCCTTTATAGTGGCTTCTGAATAATTCCAAATGACTTCACATAAAGTAAAGAAAAGATGTGTGACTGTGGATCATTAAAGAAATATTACTGTTGTGATTGAAAACTTGTGGGTTTGATTCCAGTTTTCCTACCACATGACAGTTTGCCTCTGGGCAAAGCATTTAACCTCAAACTGACGATCTGCTTTTCTGTGTTTGAATGTGTGAGAAAATATGACACTGGGAATGCTTAGTATGACCGGAAAAGAGCTGTTTAGGTTCAAACCACCAACAAAATGTTGTTGTATCAGCCTTTCAGACCACTCAAGTCTTCTCGTTCTGCTCTACATCCCCAGAACCAAACATGGAGAAGAAACATTCAGTTTCTAGCTACCACAAATCTAGAACAAACTTCAAGAAAACTGCAAAACAGCCAAAAACACAGTTTGTTTAAATTAAGACTAAAAACCCGCCAGTCTAGAACTTTTAGTCATAATAACTGGAACATTGATGCAGATTTTTTTTTTTTATGATTGCGATGATAGAATTTAACAAAAAGTAATGGTTATTGTTGTATAGTTGTTTTTGGTTTAAAGCACTTTAAACTGTCTTGATGATGAAATATGCAATTACAAATCAACATGACTTGACTAGATTACATAGCATAATCCAAACTGACACTGAACATTTTGAAGTGTGAAAAATAGTCATAATTAATAAAAAATATATATATATATATAAAGAAATTAATAAGAAAATAAATTGCAGCTTGTTTTCTTAACACCGTTTGACTTTGAAGAACCTTAGCCATTCGCAGTGTGTCAGCGTAGGTTTGGTTGTGTTTCTTCCTTTCTTTTACATTTCTCTTTCATCATATGTGTTTGGTCAATAATAAATATTACATTTTTATCACACCTTGTTTGGAAAGGCTCTCAGTAAAGGCTTTGATGCATTGCTGTGCAATGAGACAGACTTGGTAAAGAAAAGCCTTAAAATAAATGATTGTTTTTTATTATGATGCTATTTTCTTGACCATCCTGTCCACTACCCCTAGTGTTATGCTTGAGTTTCACTTGTTTCCTAGTTTTCAGTGTGAAATAATTGGAATAAAAGATGAATGTATTTTATGGCTTCCAGAAATAAGAGAGGATACAAGTATGTTGATTTAAAAATTAATAACTTAATTCTGAAGGGGATTTGAAAAATGTACAAACGAATAGTAAATCCTGACAAGTGTTTTCATTTTAAATCAATGGCTCCACTCATCCAGCATTTTGCTGCGTCAGCCTTTTTGCAAAGCCAAAGACACGTTGTAGTGAATCTGAAAGCCTGCTTCCTGCTCTCAGCTCCCATCAACATAGATGGTCCATTTTGAAATCCATAACGCTCGCTGATGTAAGAGTGCTTGACATTTCACTTTTTTTTCCTTCCCATCCGTCACTCACGGATCTCGTCATCTCAGGGAGCGCGCTCTCTGTTTGGGATTTGTTTGGCTTTGTTTGACATGTTCTTCTGTTCACTTTGGTTTGTTTTTGTTTGTTAGAAACTCGACAAAGCAGCGTAACCTGGTGTTGTAATTTGGCCACACATGGAGCGCGTAAAAGTGAAGACTGATCGATTGTGAGCTTCTGCTTTTTTGTTGGATTTTTATTTCCCCTCTCTCAAATGAAACAAACATTAACTGAAAGTCTCCTTTGCTAAAAGTCTGACCTTCGCAGCTCTTTGTGTGAGGAAACGCTTGCGTGTAATGTAATGTATGCAACTCATAGATGTGACTGAGGAGGGGGGGCCTTTTGGGGAGGTACAAGGGATTTAAGGAAGAGGGCATAGGAGTGGAGCACTGGGCTCCCAAATGCCCCCCTATATCAGTGTGTGCATGCGTGTGTGTGTGTGTGTGTGTGTGTGCTGCTGCTGTTGGATATGACTGTCAGCAGGCGGTGCCTCTGAGAAAAAGGGGAAAGGAGGGTGATGTTTCCAAAGGGGGCCCAGTCTGTTACCGAAGGGAGGTGGAGACTACTATCCCACCCAGTCAAAGTGTCTTGCTGGTGCTCTCACACACACATAGACATATGCACAGTGTTGCACACACACTTAGACATACTGCAAACTCTCCACAGGAAACTCTGAGCCATAATGTGAAGGCACCTCAGAGCAGACGGGTGCATTGCTCAAACCAAGTGGGATACGGCGCAGCTTTGATAGTACGTTAATTACTCATGTGATGTGATACAGATGTCTGGGGGCTTCAGCTGAAAGTTTGCCTGACGGTTTCCAAGGGGGCCAGGCAGGCGTTTTAGAAGCGGTAGGTGAAAACCAAACGTATTTATTATTTATGCATGGATCAGTTTGCGTGCTGTCACAGATCCCAGCAGTGTCATGCTGATGCTAAACTGTGATGCTACTTGAAGGGCTGGCTGCTAAATAGTTCTTTGTGTACTTGGTGACAGCGGGGACTTTGAACAGGAAGAACTCCAGGCTATAAGACTTGCCTGCACCGTGACATGATGAAATGGGCTTCGGTGTGGATCTAAGAGTTTGAAACTTTAACAAGTCTTTACTAACAGCATAGTGTAATGAACTGTTCTGTATTTTTCAGGAAATTTGTTGACTCTTTTTTTCTTTGGTGAAAAGGAGCGTAATCCAAGAGGAAGTTAAATGTGTTGTTTTTCTCTTTGTAATTTAGCCTGCTTTGTATTTAAACTTCAATACTTTTGTTGCTCAGCTTACATTTATTTGTTTAAACAAAGTCAGAACCACATGTTTAAAGCTTTTAAAATCAAAAACAGAGGGAGAATGTGGAGCAGTGGGAATCGAAAAGTGCAAACCCAAGAAATGGACATCCACACAAACAGGACAACATTACAGACTGAACTGAATTTTCATACAGGAATGAGTGAGAGCAAAATATGTGCTTCTTACACTCTGTTGATTTTTATATTGAATGTCTGAGTATAACTATAGGTGGCATCTCCCATATGTGAGCCCCTTTTTGAAGTCTTCAATACGTTAATCTTCGTGAAAGTCTTTTGTCTTTTTACATCACTGGAGAAGCTTTGGCCTTCTGCAGAAGAGAGACTAAACTTAAGAAAAACCGTCCAACTCTGTATGTGGTAGAAAACATTCACTGAAATAAAACTGATTATACTACTCTCATAGAAAAACATAGTGGTGGCAGTATCATGCCTAAGGATGTGGAAGCTGGTTGTAGGTGGAAGGTGCTAAATAAAGAATGATTCTGGAAGAAAACTAGTTGGCCTGTAAAGGAAGATTTGAAAGATACGTATGTCCTTCCACTTTACCACAATGAAGGACAAGATGATGAATTGATTTAATCAATTAATCAAAACTGCTGTTCCTGAAAACTTCATTTCTGAGAAAAATCTGGATTTTTTTTCATAGATGCACTCCTTGAAATTCCATTGTTTAGAATGGAATCGAAGAATTACGATCTTTTCTTGACAAACAGATTTACAGTTTCTATAAATTTCAACTCAGAATTCAGGTCAACTCACAGAAGGAATGATTGAAATAAAAGTCAGATTTGTAAGATATTATTGTCTGTCATTTGTGTTTTTTAGTTACAGGAAAACAAAATCAATTAAATTCACAAATCAAAGTTTGAAAAAAGAAGGACATTTTATTTTTAGGCTATATGGCGCAACCATTTCACAATGTAGAACTATGTGTCACTATTAAATACAATACAGTTTGTGTTGACACATTGTGGAAAAGTAAAAAAAAAGGGTCTGCACCTCAAATTTCTAATTACTTAGATTTTAGTCTTTAGTTTTAATCGGAAATATAACCTGTTCTCCTCGTTTCTTTTCATTCCAGCTGTAACATATTGAGGCAGTCTTCCAGTCAGTGAAATCAAAGAGCTCGATGTATTCGATAATGGGGATCGCAGCCCGGCATATGCTCATGCTAATGGCCTGTTTGGCAGCCAGAGGAATGTGCCAGATAAAGGAAGCGGAAGCCCAGGACTCTCTACCAGTCATCCACTCCACCCTCCAATCCTCAGGTCTCCACAGCACCGCCAGTCCAGATCTGCCTTCATTTGTCCCAGGAGCTCGGATGCAAGCTTTGGGATCCAGCTCTGCTAATAATACAGTCTTGAAGAGACCAGTGTCACCTCCAAAGTGCGTTGCATATCCCTCAATTAGCAACTATTTTAAGTACATCAACACGGTCATTTCAGTTATCGTCTTTGTGGTCGGCCTGGTCGGAAACGCCACCCTCCTGAGGATTATATACCAGAATAAGTGCATGAGGAACGGGCCCAACGCCCTCATCGCCAGCCTTGCCCTGGGCGACCTCATCTACATTTTCATTGATATACCGATCAATGCGTACAAGGTAGCACTCTCACTCCCCTTGCTGTGTGTTTATGTCTGTTCTTAACTTTATCTTCATAGCCAGACTGCTGAGTGACAGGTTGCACACTGTTGATATGATGAAAAGCAGCAACAATGAGGGAGACTTGCTCAGATAAAAAAGGGATATTACAGACGGGAAAAGGAGGGGAAGGCGGTTTAAGGGAGACGGGAAAGCGTAATCAGTCGGAGGGTCGTTATCGGTTTCATGAAGTCAGATAAGTGATGAGAGGAGAACGGATATGACTGTTTAAAATAAACAAGAGTCAGGCTGGAGTCAAGCATGCCTCTTGTCTCTTACTTAATTATTACGCAAATTCTTCACTTGCAGTACCATAAAAATTAAGTAAAAAGTATTTTCACCCCTTACAGATTATTTTGTTTGTTCTTGGTTCTTATTTAATACTTATAGAGAATTTATTTTGCAAAATTCAGAGTCCACTTCCATTTGGGTTCCTACTGCTTCTAAAACCAAAAAGTTACATTTTTGTGGTGTCTGGAAAATGATTAGTTTCATATATCTCCCAATTTTTGAGTGACACTGTGCCGTTACCCAAGAAGATCTCCAGCACCTTACCAGCTGGTTTTAATGCTGTACAACGGTTGCTGGAAAAGTGTTTTGTCGTAAAATGACCATTAAGAAACCACTTGGAGAATTCTTGTTGATTGTGCAGAAGGCTTTACTAGTGCTTTTCAAAGTTTCTGATTGCATAATTATGCATCTGTTTACACTCATTTACACTTGCAAGTGTAAAGTTGAGTAAGCAAGCAGCAGCTTATTTGGATTTATAGCGAGACCCTATAATAGCTCAATCTGAAAGGAGCCCAAAAGAGACAGAATTGGGCAGACTAAAATCTCATAATCAAAGAATGATTTTATGCAAAAAAAAAAAAATGCCATAGCCCGTAGACTTATCCTAACCTGTTCAAGAAAGCGTAATAGGTAATCTCTAAATATGTCAGATAATCAAACAAATCAGACAGAAATAACCTGAGTAAATACAAAAATATTTTTTCAAAAGACAGGTAACCTAAGCTGGGCCTATGTTTGACCTAGGAATTGACTGATATGAGTCAAAATATTTAGTTCAATTTCACTAACAATGCTACAACTTAGCCTGTAGAATCAAAAAGTCACAAAACAGAACCTATCTTACTGCATGAAGTAGTCTCAAATAGCGACACATCATGCCTCAGTCTGAAGAGCTTCAAGTACATTTAATAAAGTCACTTACACTCATCTGATTTTAAAGGCTTAAAAAGAATTCAGGCTTTGGATCTCTAGCAAATCACAGTGACAGCCAATATCCACGTGAAACAGCAGTGAACCTTCCCAGGAGTGGCTGTCCTGCCAAAATATCTTCAAAAGTGCTTCAGTCACTCATTCAGGAGGTCACTAAAAAAACCAAGAAAATCTGAAGCACTGCATGCTTAACTACCAGTGATCACTGTTTGTGATGCAACAAGGAGAAAGAGACAAAAAAAAAGCATTCAATGGATGCTTCATAGCTAAAACCTCTGCTAACCAACAACAGCACAAAGATCTGTCTCACATTTTCCTTTAAAACATCTTAATAATCCCAAAGACATGGGGAAATATTTTATGGACTGATGAGACTAACGTGAAGGTTGCTGGGAGGTGTAGCGTTACCTTAAAAAGGATGTTAATGCTTGAAAACCCTCAACTGTGGCTGAATTCTCCAAAAAGTGGACAATAACCAGTTATTCGATTTAGAGACCAATTACTTTTATGACCATGCTCTTTTTTCACAGCTTGTATTTTTGGTGATCTGAAGCAAAGCAGAAGACAGAAATCTAGTTTTCTAGACTAGATTGTTTCATCTCTTTGTGTAAGTCAGTAATGACTTGACAAAAACACATGGCACATAAATTATGTGGAGATTTCAGTTAGTTCAGGCTGTAGTTCTTTTATTCCCGTGTTTTTGTAAAGTATTTACAACATAAACTTCAGTCATTTAAAGGCACTGATTTATTAGTTGCTAAGAATTTGCATGAGAGTAACAGATCAAATCAGTTTTTTTTTATTTAGAAAGGTTTCTTTGTGGTTTCAAGTGACTCACAGCCCTGTTGTTTGCTTTTACAACCACTTGAAAATATGAAACATTGCGTGACTTATGTGCTAAACAGTTGCAGACCCTTTTCGGCCTAACTCGATTTATGCCAGTAAACACTGTCAAGCTTTGTGTAGTAATAAAGAGCGATGGCGGGATTGAGGGATCAGTCACACCAATCTCTGTGCAGCCACATTAAAAGAACGTCATTTTGCACAGAGAGAAGTCAGGAAAGCCACCTGGTTAAAATTAACTTGGGACTCTGAGGGGCACGGCGACTTTGTTGTCTGAGCAACACATGTGCAAAGAGGAAACAAAAAATCTTCTGGGGGGAGCAGTCTGCGCACAAACAATGAGTGAGCCACGTCCACAAGGTTGCAACCCCCCTGCCCCGTCTTCCTAGGGATAAGGACACCGTTTCCGAAAACTCTTCCTTTGTTTTTATGTTGAAGGGAGGAAAGTACCTGAAAAGAACAAAGGTAAAGTTTATATGAAGATGTCCTTGATTAGAATTTAAACTTCAATGGCACAGAATTCAAATGCCTATAATTGAACTTTAGATGTTAGTTTGGTCAGTTTGATTTCCAGACACCTTCTTTTCAAACCGAGCTCTGTAGTTGCATTTTTGCTTCTTTTACACCACTCCTTATACCGTTTTTATTAACTTTACTATTTTAACCTGTATCAGCCTCAAACTACAATGCATTTGAATGTAATTTTAGTCAATATTAAGAGATTTCTGAAGGCAGTGGATTGCCCTGAACCTTTTTAGGAGGGGTTAGAGCATAAGGATCTAGTTACAATGCATGCAATTAAACGATTACAAATAAACTTTTACGATTTTGAAAACCATTAAATTTCCCTTCACAATGATGCACTGCATTATGCATACAACTATGCAAAATGCATTGACATTTATGGTTGAAGCATGGCAAAATGTGGAAAAGTTCAAGAAGGATAAACACCTCTGCAAGAAACTCTAGTCTGAAGCCAAAAGAGAAAGTTTGAGACTAAAATATGGGCCTGAATCCACAGAAAGAACAGTTTGATTCAGCTTTTCCCAATTTTTATGCTGAATCATTATCATTTATATAAGAATATCAATTTAATTAGATTTATTAAAAAAGACTTTCCCTTCTCTATAAAACAGTATTTCTCTCATCGTCACACATCGTCTTCGTGGATATGTAACTTGTCCTGACTTCAAACACCTTAACACACTACAATTGTCTAGAACAGAAAAGAACTGTATCTTTTCGACTGTTCTGTGGCATTCTTTCTATCATAATCCCCAGAATTTTTTGCCATCAGCATATGTAACAGATTGGCTCCACTTCTATAGATTTTATGACTACACATCAAAAATATGGTGCAGTGGCCCAACACCTAGCTCATGTTATGCTATGCAGACAAAGGGTTCATTCACAACAGCTTTGTTTATCGCGCTTTAATCCAACTCTAATTCATTTGCCTAGAAAGTCTGATTTGTTTGTGGAAGTGTGAATGTGAAATTTAACTGATGTGGGTCAAAAAAGTGAACTTTGGACCACCTAACTGCATATTTGTACACAAGCGGACCAGAGATCTATAACGTACAGATATTTGATACAGATTTGTTTTAAATCAGTCAACATGTGGTGAGAAATAACCAGCTGATTGTGCAGCGTTGTTTAAATAATGACTCTTTCCCACAGCTCCTGGCATCCCGTTTTCCGTTTGATGACCACTGGTTTGGCCTGTGTCTGTGCAAGCTGGTGCCTTTCCTACAGAAGGCCTCCGTTGGCATCACAGTGCTAAACCTGTGCGCCCTCAGTGTGGACAGGTCAGTCCTGTCAGACTCCTCAGTAGCACAAACATATGAAAAATATTAACCTTAATGTAAATCTGCTTGATATGCAGAGAAAGTGAAAAGGAAATTAAGTTTAAGAAAAAATATGTAATCCAAATGTCTTTATACTGATGTTTAACTGTCATGGTCATGTCTCCTCATTTGTAAAGATGCAACATATTTTTTTTTTGTTCTTGAACAAAGTTACTAATTACTGTTCAGAATTTATGCTATAGAAGCCCAATTTTTCAAAACAAATTATAAGTAATTTGATTTATTTGGCGCCCCTTTGTAATTAATCCTTTTTTCACATAGAGAGGAAATGCTTTGCTCAAGATTTATTTTTGCTTTTGGCTTATTTATATAAGAGACCACATAGAAAACATTCCTTAACAATGACAGGAAGACTAGATGATCACTTTTGGGAAAGCCATCGACTCAGTACTACTTATGAGTTTGTTCATAAGTTGAATTACAAAATATCCCTTTGCTCCTGTTAAGCCCTCTTGCAGCAATTGTTTATAAGATCATCCAAAACCCATGGTAAAAGAAGGGTACAATGCTTTAGAAATTAAACTGCTTTTATGGACACTTTGCTCCAGTTAGTAAAGAGATGACCGGATATTAGTAGATATTCTGGGGGACGCACAACCAAACCAAAATTCAGAACAAAGTAAAAACAAATAAGTAAACAAATAAAAGTTGTAGCTTCTTGAAAAATATTGCAGCTTTTTTATGTGGGGATGGAGGTTTTCTGGAAATAAGCACAACTGGCTGGTGAGTCCAAGATGCCAATCTCTGTTTCAGTTCACATCTTAGGGCACCAGAAAAATGTAGATGATGAATATTTTGGAAAACTGGAGAGTTACAAATGCCATCTGTTTATTACTTTGCACTTTGCAATTTCCTTTAAACAAATATAAAGCATTTTGCTCTAAAACTGTATTATCAACTAACATTTTTTGTTAGTCACCTAAAATGTTGTTTTAAACATCTTCAGTAGGAATTTTGGATATTTGGTTTTGCAGGAAAAAAGCATGCTCTCCTCTCTTTCCCATTTTAATTAGTATCCAACATAAATATGTGTCTATTATATTTATATATCGGGAGGGAAGAATTATTTGATACATAATGAAAAGAATATTCTAATTATCTCATAAGGTCAGTAAATTTTTTTCCCCACACTATGTATGTATTTATATTCCAATTAAAGGTTGCATTTCCTTTTTTTAGGTGTGAAGCTGTGCTTCTGCACTATATGGCTTTACACATCTTTACATGAAGTGCTACTATGCAATATGTACACTTTGTGAAGTCAACTTTACTTGCTGTATTGATAGCCAGCATGCTAATGAGTTTGATATTGCCTTAAAATATGTTTGTAATGAATAAGTTATGGTCCTGAAGTGCTGTTGTTCATTGGCATGTCACTTAATGCACTATCCAGCTTCACAGATGCCGTAAGAGATTCAACCTTATCCAAAAGGCTCCGAGGTTCAACCAGCCAGACAGTTTTAATAACTTCCATTATGAGGAAGGTCCAGGAACTGTTCGGTTGCATTCAAAAGCACATCATCTCCATTTGTTCCTGGAACTGCATAGCAAATTTATTTGAGCACATATTACAATCTATTTTAGTCACCTTTGCATCATTTCACTGCTACAAGTAGAGGAAAAGGTGGATACATTTCCACTTAGTGAAATATAAATGCCGCCATGTTGTTCAACAGGGAAATTCAAATGTATCATGAAAAATATATTATTTTTGCCATAAAATCTTGATGCACGGTTTTACTAAAACATTTCGACAAGTGGTTTCCATTAATGAAACAAACAAGCAAACAATTTATTTAGTGCGTGGCAAACACAAGCCAACACACAGAGACCTCACTGCCAACATGGGCCAGCCTGTTTGGAGGCTTCACAAAAATATAAATATTAGATATTAAAAATAAACAATTGATCATCTCGCCTCATAAATTCCTAAAATTCTGATTGTCTGCTGACTGAGCATTTTGTTGTGTTTGGCATGCTGGCAGGCAGGAAGTCACTTTTGTTAGCTGTTGCATTTAATAAACAAATGGCATTTTTCAGTGCTGTTCATGAATTAGTGACTGAAAACGAAACTAATATATTATTTGCAGCTAAAATGGACAGAAAAATCTAATTTATGTGAATTTAAAAGTTAAAGTTTAATCACACATTGTAGATAGAACACAATAATAGAATGGATATGTGAAGTGGTCATCCCAGGTTATTGAAACATTATAGGAAGCCCACATTCTCACAAATAAATTAAATCTTAATCCTACATTTCCAGTATTCAATTTTAAAATATCAGATTTCTATTCATCGATCCATTATTTTTCGTTCAGTCTTGTTCCTGAATAATATCTTTCAGCTAAATTAACAGAAGTAGTTTATCATGAATAACCTTTTGGTTATCTGTCAAAGTCTGACTTTCGTCTTTGCATCTGCCCGTCACACAGGTACAGAGCCGTGGCATCCTGGAGCCGAGTGCAGGGAGTGGGCATCCCTCTCCTCACCGTCATCGAGATCGTGACCATTTGGGTTCTGTCTCTCATCCTGGCCGTGCCTGAGGCCGTCTGTTTCGACATGGTCACCTTCAACTTCAGCAACACCACCATGCGCACTTGCATGCTTAATCCACAAAGCGATTTCATGAGGGTAAGCCATTATATTACCTTTTTTCTGTTTTCAATTCAACTTGAGCTTAACAGAAAAAAGTGGTATTTTAGTTTGCTGGTAACTTGACAGCAAACTAAAATACCCCTCAGATCAGTAAGTGATCTGAGGGGTGATGTTTTAACAAGTTGATTTTTTTTAAATATGTTTAGATTTTCTGGCCATTAATATAAATGCCCATTTTTTACATTAAAGAAAAAAATAAAAGCCCAACAAATAGTCATCATTTTGAGTTTGAATGTCATAGTTTAGACTTTCTAAGTCATAATTATGATGTGAAGCCATAATTTTGATATACAGAGACATAATTTTGATTTTCGAGGTTATAGATTCAAAGCCATAATTTTGAGGTAGAAAGTCAAAATTTTGACATTTAAAGTTACAATTATGAGAAAGTCTGTTTTGAGATCCAGTATCATAATTTAGACTTTCAAATTTATAATTATGAAATTCTAAATCATGACAATGAGATACTGGAGCAAGCCTCCATAGAAAAACAGTGTGACTTTATGTCTCATAAAAATGACTTTGAAAGTCAGTTATGATTTTTATTCTTGCAATTATTACTTTTGTTCCTGTAAATATAGTTTGAAAAATCTAAATTTTATTATTTTAAATCTCATAATTATAACTTTCTGTTGCACTTTTAATTTTTGTCTTTAGTGAAAATGGACAGTGTACAAGGAAAAACTGAAAGATTATCAGAAAACATTGAGAACTATTTCTAAAAGATTACAAAGCTATGTGGACATAATTTAAAAAGAAATATAAATGGCATAAATGCTAGACACTTGTCTTTAACACTTAATTAGTCTTAAGCTGCTTGGAAGCAAAGTACACTGCACTTGCCAGTGGCGTAGAGTTTGATGCGTGGGAGAAGGCCACCCATCTCACAATTGTGCCGAGGCTCTGTGGTTCTTGGTTGTTGCAGCAATAAAAAAAAGGGGGAGATTTTCTTCATACTGCAGTTTTACCTCAACATTTAGTTTTCTGACCGAAGAGAAGCAACAGGAAACACTAAGTTCAGAGAGTTTAGGCTCTTTGCCTAAAGGATATCCATTTCCTGTCTGTGCCTCTTGTTGCACTACAAAATAAAATTTTAAAATCCAGATTTGGCGTGATCAGCACTCAGCGATATGTCCACAAGCAAACAAACAAAGACAGATTTTGAGTGATCTCAAATGATTGGTAGTACAAAAATATTAAACTCAATTTAAGAATATATATTTGATTTTAAAATGTTTGCTACACTCAGAGGTACGTGTGGGCAAAGTTTTCTCCCTTAATAAGACACATTCACCAGATTTGGGTTCTACTGCTTCCTATGTTACACAACCTTATGTTACAGATGGATCCACTTACACTGGCACAGTTTCTACTCTGAGGTAGAAACTAAAACAGAGCATTTAAACACTTTTTATAGACCACTTTAGGTTGAAGCTGATTTAGTTAACATGCAAATAGCGAATACATTCTCCAACTGCTTTAAGTGCAGACTCCAGGAAACCACATTTCAACCTTCCTATAAGCTTAAATACAACCTTCCTTTAAGTTTAAATACTGCAACAACGGGCCCGTTAAGACAGAAAAACTCTCACTTTCTTCGAACATCTGAATTTCTAAAAAGAAAAAAATATCAAATAGCACAATATTTCAACAATTTTTTTCTTTGCTATTTGACCATTTATGAAACTAAAAAGCCAAGACAGTGAAGCTCTAGTGTACAATGGTAGATATTTAAAATTTTGGGAAAATAGAACTGAAACATCACTGGACTGAAGAGACAGAAAGTCCAATCCTGCATTGAAACTACTTGAAGTGAGAGCTAACATGTTGAGTAGTGTCTCCATTATCTCAAAGACGTAATATTTCTTTGAAATGAGAGGTTTTTTTTTTTTTTAAATGGACAGCTGGCATGTGCATCAATGCATCAATGCAACACTGAAGCAATCAACTCCAACATTATGTGGTTGTTCAATAAACAACTGAAATTACTGCTATCCATTGCAATTAAATAAATAACATGAAAGAAAATGTGTAAAAAAAGATATTTCAGTGTTGGAAAATAAACCAATTGAGCCAATATTTTGAGTAAAGTCTCACTTTCAGACTTGAACACAGTAATGTTTCTTCCTTGTTCTCTCTCTTTGTGATTGTGGCCTTTCCACATGCCTGACACACATAATTGATTGCAGGCCAAGTGCAATTATGGGGGCCTTAGCCCTCAAGTAGCCACATGTGCTTTTCCACACACTCAAAACTGCTGTAATCTCTCCCAGATATCAATATAGTGCCAACTTCTGAGAATCTATTATAGTTTAATTGCTCGTTTTACTTTTTAATTCTCTACACCCTGCATGATATATGGGGTGGGGGTGGAGCAGTGGGGGGTATTTTGATTTAGGATGGCAAAATTCCCCCATAATGATCAATTTATGAGTGGGGTTATAAAGTAAAACGACTATTGTGTGAGAAGGCCAGACCAGATCTTCTCGGTTTTGAAGATAGCACATTTATCATACCTTTTCAGAACCACAGGCTTGTATTATACACTGCATAATTGGAACCAGCTTTGTTTGCTACTTCTGAGCAAAATTCCCATAAACTTCACTTCACATCGGAACAACAGCAACCAGATGGTGTTTTCTGGATATTGAAAAGAAAAGTGAGACATCTACTGTTCCACCATGTCACTGTGAATAATGATCAATTTTGACTTTCAGAAGCACTTAAATACAGTTTCAGGTGTAATTCATAGCTGCACCATGAACATAATTGAGTTAGAAAGTATTCACACCTGACACATTTAGTCCTCTGTTAATTAATCAGAGTTTGTTTTCAGACCTTTTGTGCACGTGTGAATACAATCAAGCAAATCCTGGTGCGGACCACACAACTGTACCACTTCCAAATGAATTCTAGTGCAGTTTGCTTTGGGTGTGAACACAGATTGGCCTTAATCCAGACCAACTACAGGAAATATACGTCAGTAGGGTCTTCACGAGCCACTGTTGCCATCTTTCCTGATTCAGCTTGCAGCTGAATTTGCAGATGCCTTTCCAAAATTAATGTAACATCACAAACCTGTGTTGTATTAGCTATTCTTGACAAATATTGTTCTTCACAAATATGTGCAAAAGAAATGGGCAGCACGCAGAACTTCCGAAGTTAGGTTTTTCCGGATCTGTGATCTGTCCCGACCCCTGTCATGTCTGTCTAACAGGAGCAATGTTTGTCACCTGTGTGGCTTTGCTTACAAATTTTGGTTCGGATGCTAAAAATCTCAATTTAAATGCAATCCACATCAAATGAAAAAAATAAAGTCTGAATTTAGTCCAGACCAAAGGACTTTTCTAGTATATGCCCTTAAAGCTCAGATAGCTACTCTTTGGGTAAGGATTTGTGTAAAACATTGGCTGCTGAGATGCTTTCAGCCCCACAGATACTCAATTCTAAGGTGACCAAACTACTGTAAACCATGAAATAAATGCAGTTCAAATGTAACAGAGTCCATCACTGTGTTTGCTTCTCTCTAGTTTTACACAGAGGCAAAAGACTGGTGGCTGTTTGGCTTTTACTTTTGTGTCCCACTTATCTGCACTGCCATCTTCTACACTCTCATGACCTGTGAGATGCTGAACCACCGGAATGGCACCCTCCGCATCGCGCTGAGTGAACACCTGAAACAGGTTGGGCAATACTTTGATTTTGTCTTCAAATAAACTATGACTCTATGCCTCCTCTTTACAAGGTGGAACCTTATCTTGTGTTTCTCTTTGCAGAGGAGGGAGGTGGCCAAAGCTGTCTTCTGCCTTGTGCTGATCTTCGCCCTGTGTTGGTTCCCTTTGCACCTCAGCAGGATTCTAAAGAAGATGGTATACCGCCCGAAAGACAACATGCGCTGTGAACTACTCAGGTAATAACTCTGCTTAACCTGTTTTGGATGTCTGGATAGGGCTGTGACATTGTTTTGCATCTGCCTTTTCAGGCAGTTGTATTGCATATTTTTTTCCCTCAACAAAATTAATTATTCATTTGAAAATTACACTGTGTAAAAAAAATAAAATTATCCAAAACATAACCTGTCCAGGATGTACCCTGCCCTCTCCCAGTGACCGCTTGACTTTGCAAGGATAAGTGGATACTGATAATGGATGGATGGATCTAAAACATTTTCAGTGTAACAAAAACAAAACTGAAAAATGTGTGGGGGCAACTATGTTTTGACGTCACAACTTTCACAAAAAATTAGTTCTCCAAGAGAGAATACTTTATGATCTTCAGATATGTTTATCTTTTCAGCTTCTTGCTGGTTCTGGATCACCTCGGTATCAACCTGGCAACAATCAACTCGTGTATAAATCCTATCATTCTATACTTTGTCAGCAAGAAGTTCAAAAACTGCTTCAAGGTGAGGTTCTCTCTTATTACACATACACACATATATACACATACATGATTATGTTTAACACATAACCCCCACATCATGTTTGTTTTGAGCTAAACTGGTCTGTAGCACAAACAGTGAACTCAATCCTCTTGTCCCTGACTCAGAGGCCTCGTAGTGATGACATGCCATGAGCAAAACGCCAAAGCAGCCTGATGATATATGTAGTCACTTCACAGGCTGAGGTCACAGTCTGTAAATGTCTGTCAAGGGAATGTTACCCAAGATAAACCTTTGCCTGACTTTGGAGGTTAAAGGGCTTTGTGGGAACAAACAAGAGATAAGTCCACATATGGAAAAACCCATAGATAAATACAGCCATGCTAAAATGTACATTTTTCTCTCTTTTTATGTTTTCCAAGTCATGCTTGTGTTGCTGGTGCTACTCTGACAACCAACTGAACAGCATTGGACTCGTGAATGGTACCAGTGTCCAGTGTAAAAGTCCAGAACCCAACAACCTCCACACTGACAAAAGTATCAGGAAAAACAGCAACTGATTGTTCTCTGGAGGTTTTAATGAGTTCAAAGCGCAAGTATAATGTAAATATGAAAATACAAATGTATATGAAAGCATAATTTGGACTCCGAGGAAACAAATCCATCTGGAAGAAAGAATATTTGGAACTGGAATACAAGGAACAAACCATGGAGTGAGTTTCCTGAATCTCGCAGAAGGGCCAAGCTTCCTGAGAAACCCCCCCTGTGTTCCCACACTCACAGGCAGTGACACAGTAGCCTAAGAGGAAGAGAAGGATGATGAGGAAGAGGAGGAGGACTCTTTAAAGGGATACAGCTGAACTCTATAAATGAATCTATCAAGAGCCAAGCGTGCTGTTCCTGTAAAGGGCAGCACCACTGGAAAGGAGGCAACAAGAACGAAAAGGCTGTCTGCTGGCGGTCAGAGAGAACGATGTTGAGACACGTGTACATGCTGTTCCCAGAAGTTTGCTACTCACTGGGATTAATAACCAAACAGGCATGTTAATGACTCAAACGACAATAATCGTCAAGACTGAAGGTTTGCAACTTATTTGACTTATACTCACTGCATTTAGCTGGATACTGTTTCTGTTATATCCCTCAAGATTTTTACAAAAATAAAACTGTGGCAGAAGAATAATTTAAGTGTAATGTGAACACAGATCTGTGTATAGCAAAAGTAAAGGGTTACAAGATTTTGCAGTGCTAAGAATCTTCCCAAGTAACTGGCATAAATCTGCAAGATTATCACTTACAACCCTGTTATTTCTAAACTCTTTTTAAAGGCCATGTATATGCAGTCACTTTTACAGCTTTTTATTTTAGTTTTGCGATTGTAGCTCATGCCAGTAATATTAATTTCCATGTATAAATCTGTGAAATATGTGAAAAAATAAACAGTGCAGGTGAAAGTTGCTAAAGACAAAATAATGCATCCTGGCAACATTTCTAGATTGAATGTGAGCTCATATGGTGATAAAATAATGCTTTTTATAGCAAGTGTCCAGTACAAAGACGGAAGTTAGGAGAAATAATTTGTGAGAGGCAGAAGCTTGGAGATCTAATAGACAGGCACCCTGCACAGGGATTAAAAGTGTGCTATGGCAAGAGCAGCGCATCTATAATTCACCCTACTAGCAAATGGCCACTTGTGTCAAAACTAGCAAGTTTCTTCTGACTTTTTTTACTTTAACCAGCTATGACGTGGTTGCGTAAAAAAAATAATGGAAGCAGTGTTACCGTGTGCTTAACTCATGATTGTTTCAAGGACTCCACCAATAACGCCACTTACACTCCATAAGTCCATCTACTATGTGTCCCTTATAAACTAATGCTGGACATGTGATGGTTGAAAACCAGATCTGGAAGGAAAATACTAATAACAGATCAGATAGTAAGTGCAGTCAAACACTCAGTCTTTTAGCTCAGACATTGAGAAAAAAAACTTGTCAGTGTGCAGCTAATTTTCCCTTTCATGGAAAATCTTTGGAGCAAGTGGTTATTGATTTCATTTGATAACGTAACTATGGTTTATTAGTTCATGTTTGTACTGAAAGCAAGCAAAAAATAAAACAATGCTTCTTTTATTGAGAGGAACTTTATGCTAACAAACCTGAATTGTCTGGCTGCTGAGTCTCCTTTGGCTATCTAGTCCTTGAACCTAACCTATACCAACTATCAGCTTTGGGTTGTTCCCTCTCTTGAATGTTGAATGAAGGTATTTGAACCACTTTAGCTACTTTTGGTAGGTGACCTAAAACCTGCCCTTGATTCTTTCATAAACGTACACCACTGTTCCTGCAACAAGAATACCTGGGTAAAATACAAGTGCGAACTCTAAACGTTTCTCTTTCTTGCCGATAAGCAGCAACACATCACAACATACTTCGGTTTTCCAAGAAAATAAACCATTTTCTGTTCAAATCATTAAGAAATCTATACTGAAAAAAAGACACAAACTAGCTTTTTAATCACAACACTGTGAATTTTACCATAGAAATGCAACAGTAAAGGTCTCATCTAAGCTTGTATAACCAAATGAACATCAATCTCTTTAATATCTTCACTTTTGTAAAGTGTTATATCATAGTAGTAATATGTATTTTACTTAGGCAACACTAGCTTCATTATAATACCAGTATGCTACAGTCAGAAGATAATTTTGCTTAAAATCCATACAAGCACCAGTTAAAATAAAGAAATGTATGGTAATTTATAGGAGAAGTAAGCTTAACTAAAATATGGGTGGGTTGTGTAAAAGGAAACAAATAGCTAACAGTTATCAACCAGAATCATATGCAAAAGTGAAGGATTTGACTAATTATCAATGTTGTGCACAATGTAATTATATTTAGAATTTTTTTGATTCAATACAAGTACAGTGAAAACCGGTAAATCTTGCAAGAAGTTAGGGATCAAAACCAGCTGTAAATGGCTGAAACACTGGAAACCCTCTTTAAAAATTTAATAGTACAAACACCAAATATATCTTAATTTGCATTTTATTTTCCGCTCCGAGGGTACAGCCAATCATTGCCAAGGAAGATGAAAGTGGTTCCTGGATTGGCTGCTTTGCAAACAAGAAATAGTGTATCAAATAGGTATTTCAGCTTCGCCAGTTGCATTTTTCTTCTGAAATTTTTTTTCTACAAAAACAAAATAATAAATCCAAGAAAAGCTGAATGCTCCATAAATACTTTGGAGTTATGTTCCATTGAAAAATCTGCAAGTAAAAAAAAACACAAATAGGCAGGGGTCCACTGTACTTCCTTTGTAAGACAAAATAAAGCTTTACATTCTGGCCACTTTAGCTACAATTTCAACATGAGACTTGGAACAAATACTCACCTAATTAACACTAGAGCAAAACATTAATGTTTTCTGTAGTAATACTACTCCAGTCAAAATAGCTTCCTTAAACACTGTACATATACTTATATTTTCTTTCATTGATATGTGAATAAATGCAAACCTGTGAGTTTGAATGTATACTTGCATGAACGTGCGCCATTACTTGCACACCTTGGGTGTTTTGCACACTTGTGTACAGAAGAACAAGCAATGTCTTTTAGCTGAAGTATTACTTTTACCACTATTCATCAAAGCGATTTGTGATAACCTGTGATCAGTAATGTGTTTTCATTGTTTTACATTCATGTCAGTGATGCTGCTTAAACCAGTAAATCGATTTCTCTTCCAACTGTTTCACTTGTTATTTTATGAAGATGTCATGGTGGTTTGTCAAAGAAATCAAAGCGTCTTTTCAGTTTCTCATCTGTGTCTGTGTGAACGAGGCGTCTGGGAGTGATTTAAAGCACACTGTGACCTACTCCGAAACTGAGCCCTTAGGGTTGCTAATGTCAGCAGAGAGGATGTGAACCGCTTGGATGGTGGGAATTCGATACTTGTAATTCACTTCACATTTCTCCCACCCAGACCAAAGTTTGACCACAGAAAGGTTTGCATTAGTCTACTAATGTCATAACAGCATATAGCATGCCTCTGAAACCGAGTAACAAAGAGATAAGAACTTTTCTTTCTAGAAAATAGTTTTCTAGACACTTTTTGAATCTACTTTAAGTGTTAAGCTTATTTCTATATTATTTTTCTCTCAAAAGGAGACATTTAACAGCACCATGTATGTCACCTATTGGTAAGCCAGCAGGTCGTTGTAACAGTTACTTAATCAGACTTCGTTTTGGACATGAACCTCAGCCAGGTCACAAACATTTTGTTCATATTGTTCATATAAAGTCATTCATTTATCTTATCGCAACCCTGGAGGACTTGTTAATCAAAACACTAGAAATCACTGCTTTGTAGTCCATGATTAAAGGAGGCACAGAGGAAGAATAATAAATAGACAAATAAATATTATTAGACTGAAGCATTGGAGCAAGGCTGGACAGAGGTGAAGGCGAATGCTCCGAGTGTGAGAAAAGCCTAAGGAGAGGGAGAATGATTTATTTCTGCAATTTGGTGGGAACCTTGCTTCCTGCCAACAATGAATTGAAATAAACCCAAAAACAAATAACAGGGGATCTCAACAGGCTGCAGAGCTTCTCTGTACAAAGCTCATAAAGATTTGGTTGTTGTTGCAATAAATTTGGGCGACAGCAATGAATGACAGCTGTACAAAATAAACAATTAGGCCCAAACAGGGATGATGCTGTGTAACATGCCTATTTTAGCTCTTTATTTGGAAGATGTTTGGGGGGGAAAGAAATGCTGTATCAGCACATACTTACTTCACATTACCACAATCTCAGCTACAAAGAGCCAAAGGTGATGGAGCGCATAATGTGAGGAATCCTTTTCCTGTCGTATCTATTGCAGATCAGTTAAACTTTTAAACTTTGTAGCCATTGTTATAAATATATTCAGTTGATAACGTCGACGTTTGAATGTGAAACATTTTGCTACTAGTGAGGAATTTGGCTTTAATTTAACAGATTTATTTCAGCTGATTTTGGTGTAAAATCTAACATTAACCATAAATAAAATAATAATGTTTGAAATATGTCATTTGAGTCATAATATTGTCCAACAACTGGTTTGGTTTGACTGTGAATAACTGTAAATAATACTGAGGGAAAATATTAACAAAATTAGTCATTTCTAAAATGACCAAGTCTGAGCACCATCTGATTATCAGGTAATACCCAAATAGTTTAATCAATTTCTCTCAAAAACAGATGGATTTATAAAGAATAATTCAAGTTGAAATACTTTAATCATTAAGACAGTTAAAACTACAGCAAAATATGGAGAACAGGCTCACTTGAGATTAGCACACTATGACTGTAACGTATATAGGAGACAGAGGGACGGAGGGGGACCTGTTGTTGTAACCTAAACATAAGAGACATGAGTCTCAAACTTATCTCTCTTTATCTATTTATCCTGTAGAGGATGTGAAGCAGCTGGACAGAATGTGGTACTTAAAATAAACTGGGAATGTTACCTCTCTAGAGAACTAAAGAGGCTACATGGGGCACTTCAAGGACAGAAACAGAAAGCTTTGTCCACATTAACTTTTTTTATTTTTACTGCTCCTAATTTACAAATGATGCAACTGATTTGAGGTTTCAGCATTCTACTTTTTCATCAGACTCTTTTCACATACACCAAAATACAAGCTATCATCCGCGGTCTTGTGTCGTCTTTTACAGTCTCTTCGGCTAACAGCTTAGGATTCATATCTGCGGACTGACACGACCATGGGAAAAGGTTGACTGTGTTTGAACCATTTCTGTCACAATTTGGCCAATCTTATCCTGCCGAAAAGTGTGATGAGAAGCCAGTAAAGTTTTTCTGGCACAGTCTAAAAGTTTTATTTAAAACGTCCTGATACTTCAAAGGGTTCAAAATGCCATTCGCTTTAAAACAAGATTTCCCAGGGCCTTTACGAGGGGAGGAGAGAAAATATTATTTCCCCCTGCCCTTAAGTTAACTCTGGACTTATTTATAGATCTAAAATATTTATTTATTCATTTATGTTATATTTAGATCATATTTAAATTATTTATAATTTCAGACCTGTGTTATATATTTCATACTCAAAAATGATTCTATTTATATTTGCAAATATTCAACACTTTGGATGGGAGTAGCTTGTCAACAAATGAGCCATTTTTCCTTTGGGATCAACGGATGGATGTCACATTATATTTTTATCCCACAGAAGAGGGAAGTCAGCAACTACTAAAAGTTCCTATAATAGATATTCTTCTGATCAGCTGAGAAATATATTAGACATAATCATCTGTTAACAGTTTAGAATTAAATACATTTAAAAGTGCCAGTGTAACATTTTTTTTATTTTTCATGTTCAATTAGGTAACTGCTATGAGAAGTGCAATTCATGCCAAGGATTTTTACACTTAGTTATCTGACAGTAAACACATTTAAAAAAAAAAAATCTCACATTATTCTGTGAAGAAAAATCACTTTCAAAATGACATGACTGATTTAGCTGAAAGGTAAGGATGTATTTTTTTTTAAGCAACAATCACGTTTTGACATATTGACAAGGTTCACCTCCCCGATTTCTCTTCTGTTTTTGTTCCAGAATAACATCTTGAATTTGACTGAAACATTCCCACTAAGTCAGAACATTTCCAACCAAAAAAGGCCGACATCTTAAAAATAAATACACCACTGTTTAAAAATTGCTGCGTTTTGTAAATGTTTAAGGAAGGAGGTGCAATTTAGTTGATAGATTGTGTCATTTTTTAGACAGGATGTCTCCTCCTTTTGCTCTACATTGATTACTGTTATTCTTTAGACCCATCCATTCTCTTTATCTATTTATGCACATTTCCTACAAGACCCGTCCTGCAGGAGCTCCTATATGATTCAGCCAGACGTGAAGGCTGCCACATCCTTCATGCCAAAATGTGCATGTAGGTTCGATCAAATGCAACATATGTTTATCTACCCTACCCTTAACGTCGCTGTACATTGTGTGCCACTTCACACTGACAATCCCTCCGAGCCATCAGCCATGGACTTGTGGAAAGGACCATTTCTAATTTATAAAAGCCAAAAGGATCGATTCAAAATTCATGAACAATCTGTCCTGCAACAACCAGCGATTTCAGTGACTGTGGGGCTGAGGAGATGTGGTGCAACAGTAAGGAAAGTTCTCCCTCCCCTCATATTGTATAAAACTGTGCGTGCAAATGTATTTATGCATGCACAAAAAGGAAAACAGGCTGTCGCTATGTTCAAATTGCACAGCGAATGCTCTAGAAACCTGTATATTCTAAGCAAAATACTAAAAGTGACTAAAAAAAGTCACAAAGTTGAACATTGTCATGTTGTCAAGTATATAACAATATATATTTTTACTTCAGTTTATTATATGTCCAAACATCTTGAAAACATCTAATTTTGTTTTATTTTTTTAAGTTCTAAACCCAAAGTGCAAGCTAGCCAGTTTGATGAGTATGTTTGTGTAATTTCTTACTCTCTGTTTGTGCAACTGTGCAATATATAAAGGTTAAGATAAGGATAGTTTAATTGTCTCAGTTATAAATGAATGCTGACAGAATATGAGGCCAACCAATGCAGTGCTGTTCTGATCCCCTCTTGGCCTTTACAGAATTATATTTAGCTATTAAAATCTTATTTATTTAGTTAGGTGAACAGAAATGCTTTAAAAATAAAACAAAAACTGCTGTTTCCTGAAGATCATACTGGGCCAAGTGTATTAAAAAAAAAAAAAAAAAAAAAAATAAAAATATAAATATAATAAAATAAATATTAAAATTTTTATA